TAATAAAACTCTGGACTTCCGATTTATTCAATGTTCTACTGTAGTAATAATTGCTTGGCAAACAATAGTAATAATTTGTTTGCATATTTAGTGTGCATTTTTTCAGGTATGCAGGCAAAAGTTCGTATACATCACTGTTTCAGTGTCTTTTCCCCGGTTATCAAAACCCAAGTTGAATTTTTGATACACACACACAGATTCTCCGGTTATACGACCTGAATGATGCCTAGAAATTTAATTTCATTTACAGTTACGCATTATTGAACCTGCAATTTATTAAATCTGTTATGAGGTACAACGTTTTTAATCTCACTTGGTTTTGGATTTTCTTAGAAAACGTGATCGGAAATAGTTGCAGTATTTGTAAACAACATTTAATGTAAACATATTCAGTGACAGCTAGACATATCGCATGCTTAATACTATATATTAGAGGGTAATGATTAACCGTTGATTATTCACATAAACCAATTAATAAAATCAACTACAGTACAACAATGAATCTTGGCCGATACGTAGCGTAGCCGACCAAGGGGGTAGATTTCCGGGGTCGGACATTTCTGATTTGACCATTGGGAGTAGAAGCACAGCCACCTCTAATACATGTATTAGAGGTGGCTATGGTAGAAGTCCGGGAGTAGATGTCCGTATGTCCGGGGGTAGATTTCCGGCGGTAAAATTCCGGTGTCAGGTTTATTGCTATTTTGATTAATTACAACTGTTAAGTAAACCGTGAAATGTGAGTTGATTGAAATAAATAATAATTAATTCGTCCTAAATGTCCGCGGCCGGAAATATTCCCCCAGACATGTGACGTCAAAATGACGTAGTGTTTTTTCACGGGGTAAATGTGGAGAGTTTCTAGAGTGCAGCAAAGGCACCAATCGTGTTACACATTTCCCTACAGTTACTATAAAGCATATAATCTATAATATTAAAACGTGACAGGGTTTTTTTTTATTTCACGATTCTGAATCAACCACTTGACGGATTTTCATGATTTTTGTATGGAAAGAAAGATAATTTTGAGAACTAGGGAATGCCGAAGCCACAATTTTAGTTAAGGGTTCCAGTTTTTTAGAAATTAAGTTTGAATTTTTTTTAAGTCTAGCAGCCGACGTAAATATTCTAGACTAGCTTTAGCTATTAATACCATTTGCTTAGTAACAGCTGTAAACATTCAGCGTTTGCAACACAAATTCAGCATTTGGATAAAAAATAAAATTACATACGAAGGGTTGGCGTATTTATACTATGTGTAATGCTATAATCATTGATACGTCCATTTATTCGGTAAGAGGATGACAGATTATTTAAACATACATTGTAAAATACTAGATAATATAATTTTTTTAGTAGTCTTTAAAATCTTTAGTTTGTTTTAGTGCAATATAATTTGTTAAAACTAACAACTGGTTGAATATAAAAATATTCCATATTCTATAGAACTATGAGGTTAGTTTATTTACTCTGTGATTTTGTCATTGATTATAGGAAATAAGTAAGAATCTATAACAATTGCTGTATACGAATCGAAGCTCACGAGCTTTCAAATGAAAGCTTATGAAAATATTTCTTACTAAAATTTTTGAGGAAAGGTTGGGAAATAACAATGATCACATGTTTTAATTCATGTTGGCAACTTTTTCTTTACAATACATTTCGAACTGCTAAAACTATGCTTGAATTAGGAATATAAATATTGATATAACTATATACAGTTTTGATGGACTACTCGATTCCCGTACGTAGGACGGGCCAACAGGTCGTATAAATAATTAGTCTTTCAAACAATGTACAGCACGTTTTTTTTAGGTAAAATCCAAACATTGAACGAGATGGGAAACGCTGCACCAGCTGATCGTAGTCGTAATATCTTTAAGTGTTGCCAACTTATTTTCAAGCGTACACGTATTACGTGCCTAATAAAATCACACTGTCTTGTGTTGTTTGGTTGTAGTCCAAGAATTTTAGGAATAATAAAGCCATTCGACCTAACAAATTCGGACTAAGTGGAAACTTTGCACAGTTGTTAAGTAAGCCTAAATAAATAAAATTTCAAAATTCCCCATAAATCTCTGCTGTGCTTCAGCCGCCATCTTGGAAAATGGCGGCCAATTTTCACTTTTTTGACAATATTTCACAAACTATTGGTATTAGAGAATTTTTATAAATACAAAAGTTAAAGAACGTCTAAAAATACATCTTTTTTATATTACAAGGTTTTCTCTATCTCTAATGGTTATTGAGATAAATAATAAAAGTTAGTATTAAATAAAAAATTCCCATGCTATTCTTATGGAGGAAAATAAAATTGTTGCCGTTTGCTTATTTATGGATATATTTTTATCAAACTTGGCAAATTTATTTATTTTATACTAAGCTATTAATATTTAACATAAATATACACTTTAGTACCCTCCCTATAGCAGTAAACCTAGTATTCGTTAAATTTAAAGTTATTTAAATAGGGAATCGATCTTACATTTTTATGATATATTTTTAGTAAAAATCCTACACTAATAACATCGCTGATTTGGTCAATATGGATATGACTCGTCATGAGGGTATAGAAACCAACTAAAAGCATAATAGTTTTGTTGGGATCAGTGCGAGGAAGGCCACTTTGTCAGGTGACTGTAGGGAAAATAAATTGATAGGTTGATTCTCGTGAACATGTGTCGAAATGTGACAATGCGAAATGTGGTTTTGTAATTGTTTAGTAGCCATAATTTTAGCCTATTTTCCCGTATTATGAAAGATGGCTGATCCCAATCAATGGGGATTTTAAGATTGGTTTAAAAGAAGAATGTTTCGTGTGATACCAAATTTAATTGCACAATGAATTAATGATGCCATCTAGCAAAAAGTCGACCTAAAACAAGACCACGGTTTGGCCCGTTTATTTTCAGAAAATCTAAAAAATGTCCACTAGTGTAAAGTAGAAACAAAAACAAAATGCTTTTATAAAAGCATATTCTGTTTCATCTTTATTTTTACAGGATTTATTCCAAAATTTGATTTTAAGTTTTAAAAAGCTGTGACATAGTACATACCGTCAAGTTAATCATAAACCGTCCAAAATACTTAATTTTCCCGCAAAATATTTGTCTGATTACCTACATGTTTAGCTCAGCGGCGATGCCTCGGGTTCAGCGTGCGAAACTCTATGTTGATTGCTCATTTTGTGATCAAAGATAGGCTAAATCAAACATTTCCAGTGTCTTTCTAGTGTACGTCAAGTCTATATTAATATAAATCCTACACTAATAACATCGCTGTTTTGGTCAATATGGATATGACTCGTCATGAGGGTATAGAAACCAACTAAAATCATCATAGTTTTGTTGGGATTGCGTAAAATATGACGTACGATGATTAATGATAATTAATGTAAATAATTAACACAAGCTAGGGAAGGGAGTGTACCTCTTGAGGTCTGATCCACCAATTAAGGTACATATGTCGGAGTTGAAAATACTCCCGCAAACTCTCCGTGAAGCAACTCAAGCCGAAGATGATGAACTAGAAGCAGAAGACCATAACGATGCCTTACCTGGTTATAACTTAAGGTCTAGAAAGAGGAAGATTTAAAATATATATTAAGGGTTTTGGGGGAGGGGATGATTGACGTACGATGATTAATATCTATAAAGAAAACCCTCAATAGATATTTCTATATAAGTTTGCCCAAAGACTGTTTCATGATTAATAAATGAACAATCATATGTTTCCTCAATTGTTTTTGGTTGAAAACAAATAATAGTTTCAGTTTGTTGTTTTGTTTTGCATTGAACACAAGCTCAGTTTTATTCTGCTAAATTTAATCTAGCATTTTGTCTTAATTTCTTAATTTAATATCGTCTGTGATGTCATTATAAATCGTGAATCACGTATCAGTGACGATGGACAATATGGTTCTTTGTAACAATCAGTTAAAAGCATTTCTATAAAGCCAGTTTCAGAATGTGTTTTGTCATATATTGTCCTTTAAATAATACAATTACAACCACGCAACAGCTGTGAAGTAGGTATAATATGATGAAAATAGAAATGAATAATATCAAAACTATGTCCGTGCACTAATGAAACTGTTCTCATACCTAGTGAAATTGTGTTTTCAGGTTAATGAAATTATTATGTAAATATTGACTGCTTCACAGATAAGACTCATTGTAACCGGCATATTAAAAGAAAACATATTAACCCTCGTCACTTCTATATCACTGAGCAGACCCTTTGGTGATTTATGGCTTCGGCGCTCGGGATACTCTTTTGCCTTCGGCGCTCGGGAGACTCGGCGCTCCGGAGACGCAACGCTAATGATTGAGGGTTCCGTGTGGTTACATTTTTCAAAACATTCTTATGGTGGAACCTGTACCTTGAGCTGATATAGTTTTCAACTTCTCTGTCTTTTCACCGCTTCAAAAATATCTGAATGATTGATTCTTAAAACGCTTGCTGTATGGTAAACAAAATACAGTTTACTTACCATATTTCTTTTTTTCACCTATATAATTTAGGAGAATCGAACAAACAACTAATTTATTTTCTGTATAGTGTGACAATAAAATGTGCGATCTACTTTTTAAAGTTTCTGGTAAAACATAGTTTTAAAATGTTCGCCCTCTTTTAGTAGATTGTCTTGTAGTATGAGAACCCCAAGTAGTTTATGAGTTACTGTAGTATTAGAATAAGGCAAACAGTTTATATTATCCGACTGTCGACATTTGTCCAATGAACAACTCAATCAGTGTAGGTTCAACAGTTATGCATACTGTACTTGAATATGGCCTGACGATGGTTTGGTACCGAACCGATAGTCTTGACTAGACTACTACGACTAGGTAGCACGCTGCGGATGCGCTACACGAGAGCGGGTTAGTGCGGTGCAACTGCAAGCAACCGGCCAGGGACTGAGGAGTCGACAGTCGAGGGGGGATTTTCCGCGGTGGCCGGCGAGCGGCGAGGAGGGGTCAGTTTGTTGGTGTGCGATGTGCGCTGTTGGTGTTATGCCTGGTTGTAGTGAGTGCTGTACGCTGTGCTGTTGCTGTAGTGGTCTTGGTGTGGTGTGGTACAACAATCGAGTGATGTGAACCGCAAACTGCACCTCAGCTCAGACATGGATACCTGGATGGAGGAGGTGGTACGAAAATACATATAATCAAAATATACTCTTTCTCTGACACATTGATGTTTCCTTCATTGATTGGCATTTTGCTATAGGTTTATGGTTTACTGTCACGGATTGGAAAAATCTAATCCTACCGTTTTGGTGATATTAAATTCTGAAATAAACTTTAATATGCCGCAATTGATGATGGCATGTTTAAAGGGTGTTAATCATTCCTTATATTAGGATACTCATTTATTTGTAAAATTATTTTTTAAAGCATGTTGCAAATCTTTAAAAAATGGCGCATACAAATACCTTGCGATTTTGTAAATTGTAACATAGTGATACAAGAAACATATACGGTCCCTGGGGAATCGTGAACCGCAGCACTTCGTTTTCAGAGTTCAGAGTCAGGCGCTCGCTACACTGTTACACTATTAACTGCTTCCCACGATTACTAGAAAAATACCGGTATGGATCATAAACATAAACAAATGACGTTTTTGACCCGAAAATAAACATTATTTAACATTGCTTAAATGGAACTGCCAAAACATATGTTCAATGGGGGATTGCCCAACTCCGCGCAGTGGTCAAATTTAATCCGAGGAAAAGTTTTATGGCCCCCGAAGGGTTCAGCCCAACTCCGCGCGGTGGTCACATTTAGTGTCAAGTCCAACTCCGCGCGGTGGCCACTCTAATATCTACGGTAGTTGTTTTGGTAAAGTTTTTACCAGAACAAAGGCACATTTGCATGGACGTGAGTTGAAGTTTCCAAAAGGTTTGCTGCTGTTATTGCAATAATACCCCCGCTGCAGCAAAACTGCAGACTAAGCGAACTTCTAATTACCTGATTGCATTACTAGTAAAATATCTCTTTCAAAATATACTATTTATTCCCTATTTAAATAGCATTAGTTTAATGGAGTACACATAGGTTTGCTGCAAGAGGCAGGGTAGTAAGTATTTTTGTGAAATGTCAATAGTTAAGTGTAAAATTAATGCATTTCCAAATTTAATCATAATACACTCCTTTTACAGGAAATTACAACAATTTACTTATTCTCCATAAGAATAACATAGGAATTATAAAATTAAAATTTGTTGGCATTTTTTCTGTAACTATTATGGCGCATAATAACACTTCGATATACTAAATTATTTGTCTTTAAGCTCTACAAATTGCTTTCAAAATAAATTGCAAAAATTTATGCTTTTAGGGTAAAAGTTGGGAAAACTCGATTTTTTCACCATAAACCCCAGTTTTCATGGTCCGATCGTGCTGGTTCGTGAACTCGTTCGAATAAATGTAGGTTTAACGTTCATACCACATTTATTTTTGCTCGAATTATCGTGCTAACGGACATATAGGTATATATACATCAAACATATATATGAATTCGAACGGATGGTGTTTTCGGCCTTTGGTACATAAAAACGGAAAAATTAAATCAGTGGGTCCAGGTCTTACCATAATACCTACGGTAATAGCTTATTCCCTATGTGGGAAATTTGCTAAAACGTTGGTCTGGGTCTGGCTTCAATGAAAATCCTCTTTATCGACGTCAAATGTGCCATTTAATAAGACATTCACAGTTCACAAAATTATTTAATAATACATTTTATTAACGATTTCATGAGCTTTACGTTACACTTGTGTGCTGCGATCACGGATTTTACCTTTTTATGCAGCAATATACTGCAAATTTGCTGTAACCTCTTTCTTGTAAAAAAGGTTTGCTCTGCATCTAAAGGTGGCTACAATGGACTTTTTAATGAATAACAAAACTTAACAATCTCTTCCAATAACATTTAACAAAGGAAACATTTAAAAATTCTTTTTGTAATCAAATTTTAAGTACAAGTTTGTTTTTGAGGTTTGCCAATAATGTAATTTAGTTTTCTGGAAAATAAATAAAATATTACTTACCGGTACCGGTACTGTGATTTTTAAAATATATCACGATTGTAACATGTTTTACTAAGGTTAATATTGCTTGGCATTTTAAAGCTTATAATTATTGTTTAACTATATTAATTTAAATTTATTATGGTTTGAAATAAGTGTAACTTTTGGAAATTTGTAAATATTTTACTTATACAATTTTAGTAGGCTAGTAATTTGTATTTTATTTTTAGTCCAGATATTTAAATGGATTGTTCTTTTTTTTGTTTGTTTTGTAAATAATATACACGATGTTTATGTTAACGATGATAATTTGATGTAAATCTGTGTTATATGATTCTTATTAATGTTTGATAAAAACCACAAATTTTGGCTCACTTGCCCTGGAATTTTGAACATTTTGTACGTAGAGTAATTAAATATAAAGTCAATTTTGAAGTCTGAAGTTTTATTAAAATTCCTATACTGCTTTAAGTATTGATATAATTTTGTATTGCAAGTCATAAAAAACATAGAAGTTTGTCGGCCATTTTTTTCCAATTTGAGTGGTGTAGCTAATGTTGTATGAAACAGAGATTAGAGCTAATTTCAATTTGTTATAGCAATCTGCGGTTGTATACAAAACTAATAATTTTGAACATGGTACTAAAGTTCAGAGAGATCATAAGCCCAGTAATATGAATGATTGACTATTGTAGAATTTGGAACGTATAAAGTCATAGTCACTCTTTCTCACGGACTTTTTATATTAGTGGTTTTTAAGCTTCATCTCCTGTTTTAGGTATATCTTATCCCTTTTCCTTTCCTATAAATGATAAACATAACATAAAGTATAACACAATTTCAAAATTCAAACACCAACTCTCAGCCGTCAGGGCTGCAAGAGCCAAAATTGACCACTGCGCGGAGTTGGGCATGTGCCGCGAGGGATCCGAAGTGACCACTGCGCGGAGTTGGACAGTTGGTTTTGACAGATTTCTGACCACTGCGCGGAGTTGGGATAAGCCCGTTCAATGATATTATTATAGGATTCGGGCCAACGTCATTTGTTTATGTTTATGATCCAACCCGGTATTTTTCTAGTAATCGTGACTGCTTCCTACACAACTAAACAATCGGTAGAACGAGCAATGTGATTGATTATTGAAGTACAGTACCTCAATACTAGTAATATCACATCGCTACAGCTGAAGAGATATTTTGTATTTGACGTTTGGAGGGGTTGTTCAATATTTAAGTGTATAAAATCAACTAATGCACCACCGCTGTCTATTTAAACTGTGACATTTCTTCCCTTCCCGTTATACCCCCGACACGAGTTCATACATATTAATTTAGTGTTTTGTTTTCTCATCTGTAGATTCCTTGTGATGTTACGTTTACGTTATCCTGGCAGTTTGTTATCAAGAGCACCTAAACATCCAAATTGTATATAACATGCCGCCATCCTTTACGTGAGATTCATACAGGTTTTAAGTGGCTATGATAAAGCTAATTCTTTCATGTACGCTAGGTATTTTATTGAGTTTCCCTCTTTCTCTAGCAGTGGCGGTTCCAAGGGGGGGGGGGCTACAGGAGCTAAAGCCCCCCCCCTTGGACCTTAAAAAAAATTTAAACGTACATTTCGTCCTTAAAACACGCAATGTCATAAAAACAGACATCAATGTAGTTTTTATTAAACTTAATAAGTGATGGCAGGAGTAGTAAATGAGGGGTGTAGGTACATGAACCAGCCTGTAATCCTCTTAATCACGGTCGTTTGACCTGTCAGTTCTAGGTTGGTGTCGAACGCGGGGTAGCGGATTTTTATCCCCCTGGAATTTTACCCCCTGGGCAAACGCGACGTCACAAACCAGGGGTAAAATTCCGGCCGCGAACTTTTGAGTTTCGCGACATCAGCTTGATGGATTAAACGCGGAATTAAACATACATTTTCACGGGATCAAATTATAAAAACCTAGAATGTACGGCCCGGATTTTTACCCCCGGAATTTTACCCCCCGGATTTTTACCCCCGGAATTTTACCCCCTGGCCAGATACATAAATTATTGAGAATGATTAATTATCGTCATTCAGTTTTAATTTAATGGTAAACATTTTATTATTAAGTAGCCTATCTTAATTTATACGTAACATTAACTAATCGAACAGGGTTTTAATATTAATTTTGAGATTCGAGTGTCAGGATTCGATCTTTGAAGCCAACTGTTGGTTAATATGATCAAAATAAAACGGCGAATTCTGTTTACTTAGTTGAGATTACAAAATAAATAAATAAAGATAGGCTACTAAATAATTAAATGTTTACAATTAATTAAAAACAGAAATAAGAAAATCAATCATTCAATTTCTAAAATCAGTCAGGGGGTAAAATTCCGGGGGGTATAAATCCGGGGGTAAAATTCCGGGGGGTAAAAATCCGGGGGTAAAATTCCCGGGGGTAAAAATCCGGGGGTATAATTCCGGGGGTAAAATTCCGGGGGTAAAAATCCGGCCCGTACATCTTACGTTGTCTAAACGCTAGTTATATGGACAGGGGTGAAATTCCGGTTTTGATCGCTAATCTAATTAATCACGCTCTGAATATTTTCATTAGACTTCCAAATCCGCGGGGGTAAAATTCCGGCCGCGAACAAACTTTTGGCCACTCAGGTTACTACGTCATAGTGACGTCAGCTTTGCCCAGGGGGTAAAATTCCAGGGGGATAAAATTCTGGCGACCCTCGAACGCTTCCCCCGCATCATACCGTGCATAGCCGAACTGTTCGCGGCAAATTGTTAGCTCTATTACCGTCGCTGTCAAAACTTATCGTTTGTAAGTTAAATTTAAATTAAATTTAACTGTCATAACCTAACCAAACCAACCAAACTTGCTGATAATGAAAAAATCAAATAAAGGTTTACTAATCGAAAAATAGTCCTGATCATAAAATTATAAATGCAGTAAATTCTAACAAAAGATGTACGGTTAAAAAGTAATCGCATTGTAAGCGAAATCTTTGACAAAAAGTTAACGCCTCCGGTGGGATTCAAAATTCTCGATGTGACCACTACCGTCAGGCCATAAATCAGGGGATTAACCCAAACAAAGATCTGGGCCGTTGTCCGTCTCCCACTCTCCCA